GCCGATTCCAGGATCGTGGATTTTCGAGGCTCAGACTCCGGTGAACGTGCCTATTCATTTCACGGACCAATCGGCCTTCCACATCCGGGCTCACAGCAGCGCATCAAACAACGCGTGGGTATGTGGGCGTCAGATGAGGGCGGACTAGTGTGACACATCTGAGTGTTAGTCCCAATGAGCCGTACATTACCCGAAAATCAACCATAAAAATGGTAGTCCTCTTTCCCTTATTATTGGAGGCATGGAAACCACTGCCATAGCTTCATTTCATCGATCGTTCATGAACAAATCGCACAAAAAATTGCGTCGTATAGTTGCGCACTCCAACCTATACAAGCTAACCGAACATGATGTGCTGGCAAAACGCGATCATACTACAGAACCAGACGGATACATATTGTACTCGTCAGAACGTTTTTTTTTTCTTCTCATATATTCGCCATAAACCGATCACGAGCGGCACCATGTCATGCACTTCGGAAATTGTTGTTCAAAAACGCATTTTGAAAGGCCCTGTCATCCTCTTCAGCAAACTCCTCACATGCTGATATTGTAAAGACACTTTTAAGGGAGCTGGCATGTGATAATGAATTGCCGAATTTCTAACCTGCTGGAACTAGTATGTACTCCGTCCCTCCATAGGAACAAGGTTTTTTCTAGGATGTTTGCGTTATACAATTTGTTACTTCGTGTAGTGATCACAACCCCGCTCGCACGCAGATGAGTCATAAATCCCACGCACAATACAGAAATGCAGACTTCCCAGATTCAATCAAAAGCTGTCACTCGAAGTGCCGAAGCTTCGTCTCACCTCACCAAAAATTGCCCCATTTATATATGTATATATTGTATCACTAGGCAAGTACCATTCGAATGCAATGGCGCCTCAGGCGACGGCGCCGGCCGCACGAGACGCTGCTTATGGACAGGTACCACAATACCAACGCTAATATCACAGGCGACAAGACAAACACAGGGATGCGACTGTACGCGCTAGACCCACGGAGGGGGGGGGGGCGGTGGAACGCGGCGGCGGAGGGAGGGGGCCGGTCTGGAAGACTTGTCACGCTCTGACCGGCACGGTGACGAAGAGTGGAAGTGAGCGGAGTGAGAGTAAAGGGTGCGCGGGGTGAAGGTAGATGGGAGGTGAGAGAGGCTCTGATTGGGAGCCAAAGGAGTTGTTGGAGCGGGTTTCGGTGTATATGTCATCACAGACAGAGAACCGCAGGTGGAGACGGCAGCTAGGCAGGAAACGTTCAATAAGGGGCAGACACCAACACCGAGAAGAGGTCAGCACCAGGACTGACGGAACCATCCTAGAGGTGGGCACCAGGACTGATGGAACCATCCTAGAGGTGGGCACTAGGGCTGACGGGATCACCTTAGAGGTGGGCAACACGACCGACAGAAACAGATTAGAGATGGGCACCGGAACGGGCAGAAGCAGACCGAAGGCAGGCAGAGGGCAGGCCCAGCTAACCAGGGTAGGGTATAGGTAGGGCGGAGGGTTATTGAGCGAGGGGACCACATGGATCGACCACGCGGAGTACACCCTCGATCCCCAACGGTACCAGAGGGAGAGGAAAAATGGAGGGGGGGGGGGGATCGGCAGAACACGACCGCTGACGACCGTGCCGGTGGCCCGCTCGAGACTGCGGGTCTGCCGGACTGGGCTCCTACTGGGTCAGCACTGGCCAGGCTTGACGGCGCCGGTGGCCGCTCGAGACTGCGGGCCTGTCAGACTGGGCTCCTACTGGGCAGCACGGCCAGGCTGACGGCTGCCGGTGGCCGCTCGAGACTGCCGCCTGTCCAGGACTGGGCTCCTACTGGGCAGCACGGCGAGGCTGACGGCGCCGGTGGCCGCTCGAGACTGCCGCCTGTCGGACGGGCTCCTACTGGGCAGCACGGCGAGGCTGACGGACAGCTTTGTCAGGGGGACACCCGGCTTCACGCTCCCGGCTGTACTAGAGAGTTAACTCGGTCGGGCTGAGTAATATCGGCGAGGGATCGGTGAATGAATCACATTGCACAAGCAAACTAAACTGGCAAAATGGTCGGCTCTCGCAGCCAGTTAGGTCTCACCGTATACAAGAAATGTAGCATGAAAACGGGTTGAGCAAGGAATAAATGAAAAACAAAACGGACACGTCATTAAAAAATTACTAGGATTGCGGTTTGTCACCAGTTTCCATAGGCCACTTTGTACTTCGACAACATATCGCGAACAGGAAAACATTGTCAAGCCTCCCATCTCACGAAGGGAACGCAAAAGCAGTGCATAAAAATCCGCTCAGCGGCTTATGTACATAATAATACACCAAGGCGACCCGATATGTCACCACCGTGGGCTGTTAAGACATCGTTCCCTTCGAGTCAAGAATGGCGGGGGGGGGTGCGTCGGAAATCGGTGGCGCGCGCCGAGTCGCCCAGCCCCTCCCCCTCCCCCCACCACGTATGTACATAGTATACTCGATTTGTGTATGGAGCTCGGGCAGACGGGAGCGCTGACACACGAAACGTCGACTGCAGGGCAAAGACGGACACTCCGCTCTAGCGCGTACAGACCAGTCCACTTCTAATCCACCGACAACTATCGGCGACGGCGCCTAGTTGTGCGTCTTGGCACTTGAAGTTGTCCAACCGGCCGCTGGGCGGCGCTGCCACACACGTCGCCTCGCGGCCGTTCGCGGACCGACTTCCACAGTGATGTGGTCGGCGTGGTCGGCGAACCTGCCGCATCTCTGAGATCAATGAAGAAGGAAAACGGCACGCACGCACACTTGCACATACGGACGCATGCACTCAACCTGCCGGTGTTGCGAGCTCAGCATCCTCTCAGGTGGTCCGCGGATCCGAGTCCGTGCCACATCGTGTGGTGGCATGTCGAATCAGCAGCAGCACACCCAGAGTCCACTGAGAAGTCCAGCAGCATCAGGCACGGCCTGACACGTTAGCCACTATAAAATTGCAAAGTCCCGGGCTCGAAGCGCCTGCCATCTGTGGGCGGCCCCTACAGGTAGACCCTGCGGACGCTCCGCGTGGTGGCGTAGCCGTCGCTCATCGGCGGCTCGTGGCGACATGGTCATGTCTCGCCGGTACGGCAGCTCTTCGGCCATCCCTGAGGAAAGACAACAGGCGCGTCACGCTATGCCAACGTCAAACCGCGGCATTATCAGTCAGCATCAGGGATCGCGACACATTACCCACAACACAGCGTATGCATGCCATTTACCCTCGAACGGGTTATCCCACGGTGAAGGATAATGACCCCGGAACGTTCGAATGCATTGGACCTGCTGGGGCTGACTCTGGTTCTCGATGGCTCAAGGCGAAGCAGCGTTTTCCCATTATTTCCCAGGCGGCGCCATTGCAGCACGCTCAGGTCCCGTCAGCGCACTGTATAACACTGATATCCCGGTGCAGTAACTACGTGTGACGTCATCAGTAGCAGCGAATTGCGTCGTTGCCTCATATGCACACCAAAAACGCATCAGCTTAAGTCCTTTAACCAAGGGTGTAATCTGGCCAGGCAGATTCAGGACTCCGCGCTTAACCGTTCAATTTAAAGTACCAGCAAATCATATTTTTTGCCTCGGATTCGGTTTTTTTTATTTTGTCATTCGGAGGGTTGTACAAATATCTTACACATATCATTCGGTTTACATTGCTCTATTTCTCGTGAACAAGATGAACAATGTGGAGAGTTAGGAAAGCTGCACAAGAAGTTGGGGGAAGGGGGGCCCGGAACTATTATTTCCTACGTCTTGAGCTCCTCTCCCCAACTCGCACACAATCCTACACTTCCGCTCACAAACATCCATAACATCACGCCCCGTGGCAAGCCAGAGCACGCTCAGTCATCGCCACGGCCCTCTTCACGTGGCACGTGATCGGACGCGACAAGTTATCGTGACTGGCACGGGGACAGACGAGGATGGGTCCGCATGCTCGTTTGCAATCACCACCAGTCGCTGTCGCCGAGAATAGTCCCGTTAGAAATTCAATAGCGCAGCGAAGCGGGAGCGCCACCCCGTCACCAAGCACGCCACTCAGCGCAGGGATGGGCCGCACGCTACTCGGCCATAACTTGGCCACCAGTCACCGGGCGCGGGTCTATATTTGGCGGGACGGACGTCGGGTACTCCGGAGGCGCCGGCGCGGGCTCAGCCGCGCCGGGGGCTCGGTCTTAATGCTCACGCCGCCGCCTCGGAGGCGAGGAACGCCGCCGCCGCCCGCTCACCCTGTCACCCAGCGACGGAGGCTGGCGTGACCTTGACCTCCTTCCGGCGCCCGCCTGTTCGGGCGCTAAGACTCAGCCGCTGTCAGGCCATTTGCAGCAGATACATCCGCGTTTTCCTCAAATTAACCAGGTTCGGTCGACTTTGCATTTATGAGGGTCGGAGTTTAAGTGCTTGCTGGAACGTCATTAATCGAAGCCCATACCAACGTAAATGATGTTATTATCGGACATCTGTCCACAAACAAGACTATTTCCAGCTCCAAGATATCGATACATTCAAAGCGTACCGACGAGCTTCGATTCTGCGTCCACAGATACGCCCAAGCAAGAGAGAAAATGTCACTGGCGGAGTGCAGGCGACCACCTTATCCACACTGCAAAGATGGCCATGCTACCGGTAGTGTCTTCTCCGGTAGAATATGCCATGTATCTTCGGAAGCATTGAGATCCACCGTACCTCTCCGGGTTACGTACAATAGTCCAGGGTCCAAGGTACCCCACACCGTACTCTCCGGGGTACGTACAGTAGTCCAGGGTCACAAGGTACCCCACACCGCACCTCTCCGGAGTACGTACAGTAGTCCACGGTTCAACGTTACCCCACACCGTATCTCTCCGGGGTACGTACAGTAGTCCAGGGTCCAAGGTACCCCATATCGTACCTTCTCCGAAGTACGTACCGCAGTCCATGGTCCAGGGCACCTCACATCGTGCCTCTCCGGAGTATGTACAGTAGTCCAGGGTTCAGGGTACCCCACACCACAAGCTCCAGCCTGCGTGGCGTACCTGCGTCCTCCAGCTGGAGGGGGCGGCCAGCGCAGCTGCCGATGGTGGGTGCCGTACACGTCTCCACGCAGCGGCAGCATCGAACCCTCGTACTTGTCTGCAGAGGGCACCTCAGGTCAGGTGGAGTGAGATGGGGTCAGCCGGGTTCGTACTAACGTGGACAACAGGGGAGAGAGAATGGATGAATTCTTTCGATGGCGATACGGATACCGAATCGCTTGTACCATCACTAGCCAAATAACGAAAACAAAGCTAACCGTACTTGGCAGGAGCCTGGGGGGGCTGGGGGTCTGAGTAACTTGTTTCATGTTCACAAAGCACAGGCGCATGATGCGTATTAAAATGGCAATACTGAGACATCATCTCATGGCGTTCTTCAGCAGTGGTCATTTCCACAAATATCACGCAGGTATACCGTTGGTAACATGCTGTAGTGCGAGCTACCCTGTCCGCGAAGGCCATCACGGGCTGCGCCGGAGTCCCCGGCCGAGCCGGCGCCCTGACCTAACCTGACCTGACCTGAGTACTGGAGCGGCAGCGTGCCGTCCGTCTGGTTTTTCTTCAGCGTGCCGACCATGCTGTTGGTGGGTATGAGCACCGGCTCTGAGTAGGTGACCTCCTCGCCCAGAAGTGTGGGGTCGTGCGCCAGCCTGCCGGAGCGGTCAGGTCATCGGCGAACGGTCACTCGTGGTCACTCGGACCGCCTCAGCGCCAGGGGCGGCCGCACGGGAAAGGACCGTCTCAGGGGCGCGGGGACTGACAGCGGTCGAGACAAGGCCGGCTCAGGGGCGCGGAGACTCCCAGCGGTCAGGACAGGATCGCCTCGGGGGCGCAGAGACTCCCAGCGGTCAGGACAGGGTCGCCTCAGGGGCGCAGAGACTCCCAGCGGTCAGGACAGGGTCGCCTCAGGGGCGCAGAGACTCCCAGCGCTCAGGACAGGATCGCCTCAGGGGCGCAGAGACTCCCAGCGCTCAGGACAGGGTCGCCTCAGGGGCGCAGAGACTCCCAGCGCTCAGGACGGGTCGTCTCAGGGGCGCAGAGACTCCCAGCGCTCAGGACAGGATCGCCTCAGGGGCGCAGAGACTGCCAGCGGTCAGGACAGGGTCGCCTCAGGGGCGCAGAGACTCCCAGCGCTCAGGACAGGGTCGCCTCAGGGGCGCAGAGACTCCCAGCGCTCAGGACAGGATCGCCTCAGGGGCAGAGACTGCAGCGGTCAGGACAGGGTCGCCTCAGGGGCGCAGAGACTCCCAGCGCTCAGGACAGGATCGCCTCAGGGGCGCAGAGACTGCCAGCGGTCAGGACAGGGTCGCCTCAGGGGCGCAGAGACTCCCAGCGGTCAGGACAGGATCGCCTCAGGGGCGCAGAGACTCCCAGCGCTCAGGACAGGATCGCCTCAGGGGCGCGGAGACTGCCAGCAGTCGCCACAGAACCGCCTCAGGGGTGCGGACACGGTCAGCGGTCCGGACAGGACCGCCTCAGGGGTGCGGACACGGTCAGCGGTCCGGACAGAACCGCCTCAGGGGCGCGGACACGGTCAGCGGTCCGGACACCGCCTCAGGGGTGCGGAGACTGAGAGCGGTTGCGGGATGGAACCGGGCGCGAGGCGCCTTCGTAGCGTTCCGGCACACATTCACACCTTGCTCTCCGGGCAGCGAAAGGATTGCTTAACTCAAGACTAACCTGGGCATTCACAGTTGACGCATACAAGTTGCCACTGAGTTGTGAGGTCGAGATTAACGCCGGCGCCACATGCTGACTGGTGAGCTCGCTTGTAAGCCGATCTCAGCATGAGGTTCGCATCTCGCCGAATGGTGACTTTCTGTCATTGATATCGGTGGGGCAGCACCCACCGATCCCACCATGTGGTGAAGATCCGCACCAGTCCCGATCAAACACCACCCACTCGTCGCACCTTGTGTTGACATTCTGCCGCTGGTCGAAGTAGGTGTAGTCGGTGTCGGCGTACGGCATGTTGACGTCGTCCTTGTGGCAGCGGCGCGCGCAGTAGTGGCCGACCACGAAGCCGAGCACCAGCGCTGAGATGGCCGTGATCAGCACGGCCAGTGCCAGCGTGCCGGCCGTGAACAGCTCGTCCGAGACTGTCTCCGAACTGCTAGGACCTGGCACGCGGCACGAGGACAGCGTCTCAGCGAGGCCGCCACCGGGCGGACGCTCTTCGTCGTGAGGTTGTTTGTAGAGCACTAACAGTTGCAGTATTCGTGCAAGCGACCACAGGCTAATGCGCTATTTCAGCTAGCTGCCGCCTGGGCTATTTTCTCCCCCCCTCCCGTTGGGAGTGACTTCAGACTTTGGCTGCCAAGCCCCTGACGTTAAGCATTTACGGTGGCTACCGACACTTGAGCACCCGCAACTTGTAACCGCTACTTTCTGTCTTCCCTGGTTCTAACTTCAATCCGGTCCCACCACTGAGACATAAATCTTAGACCGCCTGGCCCGAGCCTCCTTCCTTGGAATATACCTCGCATGGGACTCAGACCTTTTTTGCCACAGGACACACCAATCCCAGCCTTTGAATCATGCCGCACATCACACCATAACAAGTCCGACTTCTGACCTCCGACCTCCGACCTCCGACCTCCGACACCGCCTCTGCCTCCAATCTTACCGCTACTTGACTTCAGGAAACATCGAAATCCAAGCCCGTTTGGAATTAGTCTCGAAACCTCTCTGATCTTTCTCATTTTGACCCCAGACCACACGTAAGTCGGACATCTGACTGATTTGACCTTTAATCTCGAACCCCTACCCTGAAACATAGCCCACACTGGTTTGAACCTTGAACCCTCTCGTCACTCGAACCCTTTCTACTTCGCTGGCCCATTCGACCTTGGTGCCCCATCCGTGACGACCTTGAGCCGTGCCATCGGTGACCTCTGCCCGGTGCTGACCTTGTCCGGCGCCAGCGGGATGGGAGGACGAGGGCCGGTCGGGCCGGCTGCCCTGCTCTGACTGGAAGGAGAGCGGCTGGTCGGAGCCGAACTTCGCCCCGGAGCGCCTGTCCTCCACGCTCAGCCGGCTGCGCTTGGTCGCTCCTGCGGCAGACGTGGCGCGTCAGAGGCCGCGGCGCCGGTGTGGCAGCCAGCCGGTCAAGGCCGGCATTTGTGAGGGAACGGCTGGCGGCCAATGAAACATTGTCAGCTGTGTTTCAATTTCGCTACACGGCGGGCGGCTTGGGTATTGAGGCACCACTGATGCTCGGCAGCTCTAAAGATATGATATAATGGGGGGGGGGGATCTGTGTTACTGGATAGTAAAGATAGGAAACAAGGTCTGTCCGACATAGCTCGCAAGATATATAAGGTCAGGGGATGAGTTTTTATGCTCATGCGAACATTGGTCTAGGAAATGCTTCCACAGAAGGCAATGGCATACGAATGGACATCGCCAAAAGCACAGTATATGAAAATACGCTACGAAGTGGGAAAGAGTCCAAAGACGTTTCGTATAATTGCATTGATTTTTCCACATCGCTATCATTCATCAGGTGTCATTGTGCTGATATGAAGCGGGAACACATGTGCTCGACACGAACGCTTGGAATACAGAACTTGCTTCCCACGCTACAAAAGGATTTTTTAATAGAACTATCACTGCTCAGACCTAGCGTAGCACTCTTAGCGTCATGTATCCAGCCTCAACCTTTCGATGATTCGTTCACATGCAGCACTACTCAAAATTCTGCTCCAAATGGACGGGACATCTCTCGAACCTGCGGGGATTCCGTCCATGACGTCATACCAGCGAACAAAAGCGGTCAAAGGTCACCATTGGGGGGGGGGCGGGGCGGGGCCGGGGCCGGGGCCGGGGTCGCAGCTCGACAGGAGCACGCGGGGGTCAAACAAAGGTCAGAAGGCCGAACTTCGCCTGCGGCAGTCGGGCTCCGAGCTGTAATGTGATCGGTGTCGGTGCCCTTTGCCCTGCACGTGCACTCGGCTCACCGGACGCGGTTGCCCTGGTGACTAGGGGGAGGATACCTCCATCCAATAATCCTAACATTACACATTGCGATCCACAACGCCCCGTGCAAAGAGTGAACTTATTTCAACCAACCCCCACCCCTACTCCAATCCTGTTCCCCAACCAACAACTAGGCTTGGCTTCCCATCTGCCACTGCACAATCGGTTGTCCTTGCTCGTTTGGAACGTCCGTGCGGAATATTCTCCAGGTGCCACTCCAACATAGATGGTTTTTTGTCGGCGTGCACTTTCGCGGCGGTGACGCCTCCGATGGTGTCACGTGGTCAATCCGTCCCTGACGAGTGACCTCATGATGTCCCGTGACCGCTTCGTCCCTGACGAGTGATCTGATGGTGTGCCGTGGCCACTTCCTCCCTGACGAGAGTGTCCAATGCCTCCGCTCCAAACTGGGTTCGGCGACTGTTCAATGGCTCCGTCCCAATGCCTTTGCTCTAAACTGGGTTTGGCGACTGTTAAAAGCCTCCGCTCTGAATGCCTCCGCTCTAAACTGGGTTTGGCGACTGTTCAACGCCTCCGCTCTGAATGCCTTCGCTCTAAACTGGGTTTGGCGACTGTTCAACGCCTCCGCTTTAAACTGGGTTTGGCGACTGTTCAACGCCTCCGCTCTAAACTGGGTTTGGCGACTGTTCAGCGCCTCCGCTCTAAACTGGGTTTGGCGACTGTTCAGCGCCTCCGCTCTAAACTGGGTTTGGCTGTTCAGCGCCTCCGCTCTAAACTGGGTTTGGCGACTGTTCAGCGCCTCCGCTCTAAACTGGGTTTGGCGACTGTTCAACGCCTCCGCTCTGAATGCCTTTGCTCTAAACTGGGTTTGGCGACTGTTCAACGCCTCCGCTCTGAATGCCTTTGCTCTAAACTGGGTTTGGCGACTGTTCAACGCCTCCGCTCTAAACTGGGTTTGGCGACTGTTCAACGCCTCCGCTCTAAACTGGGTTTGGCGACTGTTCAACGACTCCGCTCTAACTGGGTGGGTCACCTGAAGAGCGATCAATTGAAAATTTAATCTCTACGATCAAGCTCAAGATGCGTGAAGGGCAGACAGGCTATCCGGCAGATTATCAGATCGTCATACTGATAACCTGGGCCGGGCTTCGTAGAATGTCGCCGAGGGT